GTGCTTAATTTTTTATTTATAAGATTACATGAATGTATTGGTGTATTTGATGACACACATATCCCAGCTTCTATTCCTATTTTAGACCAATTACCATACATCGGCTCAAAAGGAGTACCGACACAAAATGTGATGGCTGTATGTGACTTTTATATGTGTTTTACTTTTGTACTAGCCAGTTGGGAAGGATCTGCATGCTCATGATCATGCAAATGTTTTTTATAACGTTATATGTCAAGAGAAATGGAAATTCCCACATCCACCACCCGGTACAAGAACATATACTTATTTATTTTAAATTAAAGTTACACATAAAAAATAGTGATCATAGTTTTACATATTAATGTTATATTAGTGTAAATGGTAATATATTTTTCATAGCAATAATATTTCATGTCTTACTAGAAAATATTATTTAGTAGATGGGAGATATATTCAAATTCCTAGTTATTTGGGATCTTATAGAGGAGAGTTATCATATATCATATTTTTGACAAGGAAGACCATCATTAGGCAAAGAAGAGATATTTAATAAAGCTCATTCTTTCTTATGAAGTGTTATTGAAAGAGCATTTGAGGTTCTAAAAAATAAATGGACTATGTTAAAATCATGAAAATATATCTTTTTCCTAAATAAGTTTTAATAGTGATTGCTTGTATGTCTTTGCGTAACTACATATGATGACATACTTGTAGCAAAGATTTTGATTTTTCTGAATTTGAAGACGAAGATGATGCATGAGTTTGAGGAAGTTTCTGATAATGAAGAAAATTCTACTAGTCATCACAGAGGCACAAATGAATTATTTATGAGCTTGCTTGGAGATGCAATAGCATACAAATTGGTGAGATATAGGGCCAATCTTTAATTGTTTTTAACCAAATTCAATACCTAATTATTTCCAAGAACTTATTAAGTTCATTTTTTAGATATATATAATGTTCGATCAAGTCTTATGGTCTACTAAATTATTATTCCTTTTTTCTAATTTAAATTAAAACACTTCATTTGGTTTATAATGCTTGAACTAAAGTTATTTTGAATACTTCCGTAAACTTTATTTGAAAGTTGAGGTGGAAATAAAAATAACATTTACATAATTAAAAACGACATAAAAATTCTATGAAAGAATAGAACTTGATTATTACATTTTCAAATGAGTAACTTAAGAAAAGAACAAAGAATAATTTTTTAAGAAAATTCAATCATTTATTTTTTCTTAATGGTCCGTCTAAAAAAACTATTTTAAAACTTGCTCACCTAAAATTTAAAAAATATAATAATAAATGTAAACCAAATGATAAAATATCAAACAACTAATTACTAACTTGATACAAACAGTTGAACCCGAACTATAAAATTTAACTTTTAACTCTAATGTTGTTTTTTTTACTTTCAAAAAAAAAACTCTAATGTTGTTTTCAATTAGGCCCATAGTATTCATCTTTTAATAAAGTGAGTCTTTTATTGAAAATAAAAAAGTGTAAGACAAACTCTTTTAAAAATAAGAATAGTATGGAGATCGAAATCGCGATCTGCCATACGGGAGAACCACGCCCTTACCCCTTGACCACAACGTGTTTTGCCATTTTGCTTGACCAAAAGCATTCAAGATTATTTTATTTTCAAAAGAAAACATTCATTGCGAAACACATTCAATTAATACTCCATACGTTTTTTTCGAATGCAAGTCCATTGGATTAATGAGTTTTTTTCTCAATAATAATACGGGGTAACCGCTCTCCTATTTAATTTTTTGTATTTTTGTCAACAATAAATCCTTAATGATAGGATCAAGTTCTGAATTTGTCAAATAATTTAATAAATGACAGTATGACACTTATGCTGTAAGCATGGAATTGTGGTGAATATGCAGTACTCAAATATACTACGTACATAGGGAGTATTACTTTCTTCGTTTTTTGACTTTTAAAAAATTTAAAGAAGAGATATTTTTGTGTTATATTTCAAAAATATTCTTGATGTGATGGGTAAAAATAGAATGTAATATATAGATTATTAGTAAAAAAAATATATACGATATGCAGGTAAAGAATCGGTAAGGATAAAAGTGGGTTATTACATGAAAGAGGAAGGATATTGTGAAACAAGAAAAAAAGAAAAGAAATCTCCCTGTATATGAGTAAAAATGTATGAAAATACCAAAATAAAAGTCCGAAGTCTTTTAAGACCAAAATAGGAGTATAATGACAGTGTGATGTAAGGATACATGTTGGTAGTGCATGTGATGAAAAAGTGATAAAAGTGTAATGTATTAGTGTGATCAATCAATCGACAGTGATTCGCAACGGTACTCTAATAGCCGGCGGCAAAAGACAACAATGTGATAGTAATAGTGTGGCAGTTAAAATGTGACAATGTGATGAATGTGAAAATGTAACAATGACAGTGTAACTTTTATTTTGGTCTTAAAAGAAATATGACTCCTATTTTGTATTTCAGTCTTTACTCCTATCTAGGAGTTCTCAAAAAAAGAAAGGAGTTTTTAGGTTGAAAGGAGTGCAATTTATCACTACATCTTATTCATCGCGTGGCGGATCTTGGAACTGATGGATATGATGGGGGCACCGTTATTGCAAAGAGTAGGGCATGGTGCCCTTGTGTTTTATAAAGGCAATTTAAAATATAATGACAAAATGAAATGAATTTTAATATAATGACAAAAATGAAATGAATTTTATATAAGACAAGTATTTAAATAAGTAAAACAAAAATCCTTAAAGTAGAAAAATATAATACTCCCTCCGTCCCGGAGTACTCGTCCAATTTTGACTTTTAGAACTGGTACTTTGTGTTAGTCAGTTTAGTCGTTGTGCCCACGCCTTAGAGGGGGCTGAATAAGGCGTTTGAAAACTTTTCGGAGTTTAATAAAAACGGTGTTGGCAAATGCGGAAGCAATATATAAAACGCAAAAAAAAAACTGAATTTATACTGGTTCAGGAACTCCCTACTCCAGTACCTCGAGGCTCCTCATTTCCGAATGCACTAAGTTCCGGCCTCTTGAACACCGTCAAAGCACCGCACTAGTTTGGCAAACAACCCTTGCCAATAGGATTCACTCCGAGATTTCACCACGGCTATCTCGAACCGTTTACAATGAAGATTTAATGGCTATCTTCTACCGCTCCCCCAAGGATTTCAAAGGCTATCCTTGAACCTTTACCTAAGGATTTATACGGCTATCCTTATCCGTTACAATGTGAGAATTTAATGGCTATTCTTAACTATAAGAAGGTGTGTTTGAAAAACACAAACAAGAGTTCTACACAACGGCTTGAATATAAAAATGAAGAACAAAACTTAGCCGGTGTAGAAGGAAAGTATACTCTCTCAAAAATACAATTCAAACTAATGAATATGAGAGTATAAAACTAGAAACACAAGCTCAAAGTTTGTGTATAAAAATCAGGAATTTTAAGGCTCTTAAAATAGCCAAAATATTGAAAATAATTAATAGAAGGATGAACACACTTAGAATAAAAAGAGAGGATGTTTAGAGCTTTGTTTCTTGTTGAAATATGAAGTATTAGGCCTACATTTATAGTGGAAGATGTTAATTAGCCGTTAGGAGGTGATTAGAGTTGAATTAATTCAAAAATCAGCAATCAGGAATAGTGTTCCAACGGTAACAGGACCTTGTCACGGTAGCTAGGTCCCGTACGGTAGCTAGGTTTTCTTCTCAGGCCAAAACTCTCTGGCGGTACCTATACACGGTACATATACACGGTAGGGGGGTCCCGTCCATACGGTAGGGGGGTCCCGTCTCAGATTAACTCACGGTACCCCTCACGGTACCTAGGTAACTTATGCCCATTTTGACAATTTTTTCATTTTTGTCCAAATCATTTCAAAATATGTTTAAAACCTTTTGGATGTTTGAAAATGATTATAAAAGGGTTTTAAGCATATTTTGTGAGTGTTTTTGAGCTTGTGAATATAGGTATATAAAATCATATCCTTACATCGGTTTCTACCTAAATTCTACGCTAGTTTAGTGTTTCGACTTCATTCTTGAGAACCGAATCTTAATGGATTCTTGTTGTACCTGAAACACTTAAACAAATGTCAAGCTCTTATATTGTTTGTTAACATCAAAACATGAAGCTTAGCAAACCAATGCTAACACTTTGGTCTCCCATTCTTTTGCTCCTAAAGGAAGTTAGCCATTAAGGAGTGAAGGGGATTGGATATGGATTTGAGAATGGTTTGCACAACCAGAATATGACGGGGTATGGAAGAGAGGATGTGCTTGATGAGAATCAGTATCTTTATTTGGTTGAGTGTTTTGCTAAACCAAGAATTCAAATGCTTGTGAAAGTGTTCCACCTGTCTAGAGCAGTCTTCCTTTTTTGGCTTGCCCCTATTGATTGTTTCTCCCAGGTATATAAAAGGGAGATCTCCGTGTTTCATGCCAAGCTTTCTCCATTTTATGGATTTGAGTTGAGTGAGTCTTTCTGGAGGTGTAAAATCTGCTTTTAGAAAAGTTGATCTCTTGCCCTGATGGTTGCAAGTATTCTCCTAGAATGTGTTTAAGTTTAAGGAGGTTTCTCGTGTCTCCTTTGGTGAATATCATGAGGTCATCAGCGTAAATGAGATGGCTAGTGAATTTGACACTACTTGCATTAAATCATTGGAAGTGGTTAGTGTCAGCATAGTGATTGAGCAACCTACTGAGAGGGGAGAGGGGGTCTCCTTGTTTAACTCCTCTGGACATTTTAAAGAATCCACATGGTTCTCCGTTTATAAGGATTCTAATGTTGGTTCCTTTGAGATATGCCATCAATAGGTTGATGGATTCGATTGATCAGAAAATCCAAAGGCATTAAGCATCCCCTCAATGAAGCTCCATTCCATTTTATCAAATGCTTTTGCCATGTCAATCTTGAAAATGGTGTTGCCTCCATACACCTTTTTGTCAATAATGTGTATAGTTTCTTGGGCCACCAACATATGATCATTAATGGATCTCTCCTTCTAGAAAGCGGACTGCTTAGGAGTAATGTTTGTGGAGGAGGGTCTTAAGTTTGTTGGACAGAATTCTGGTGTTGATCTTGCTCATGAAGGTGGAGAGGGAAATTGGACCGTAGTCATCAAAGCATTTAAGGTTCAAGGTTTTTGGGAATGAGAGTCAAATAGGTGCTTCCATATACACATGGGATGGGTCTGCCAAGGAAGAATTCTTGGGAAGAAATGAGCACATCATTTTTAATTGTCTCCCAACAGGTTTTGAAGAAATTTCCATTGAATCCGTCCGGTCCACTTGCACTGTCCCCATTAAGCTCCCAGAAAAGCCAAAGGCATTATATATATATATATATATATATATATATATATATATATATATATATATATATATATATACGGTTCAGGTGAGAATGCACTTTGGTGAAAGAAATAAGAATAAAATCTAGCCTTTGAATCAGATGCATCGTGCGACTCAGATTGCATCCTGTACTCAGATTTTGAGATAGGGCATTTTCAAAGGATTTTGGTGCATTTCGACATGATGCATTTTCAAACCATTTTGGTGCACCTAATTTTGATGCAATCTTGACCCTTAGATCACACAATCTAAATGATCAGATTCATTCTTATTTCTTTCATAAGATCGCATTCTCACGTGATCCAAAATCTATACATACATACACACACACACACACACATATATATATATATGTATGTATGTATGTATGTATGTATGTATGTTTGTATGTATGTATGTATAGGATCAAGTGAGAATTGAATCTAATGAAATAAATAAGAATAAATTCAAAACAAACTGAAATAATATGAAACAACACGGGGGATTACGGTAAATAAGTTGAAATTTAGAACCAATGCTGAGAATGCATTACCACAATGTAAAAATGCATTGTGGTGGTATAAAAATGCACCATTCTCCCAATATGGTCTATTCTCGCAGTAAGGACCATTCTCACTTAAACTAACTCCTATATATAGAGACTAATAATCTAATTTTAAAAGTATAGAGACTAATAATCTAATTTTGAAAGTTTAGGAGGGGAGCATGTTCTTTATGAGTTTAGAGGTAAATAACACGAAAAATTCTTATCAAATTATATTACTCCCTCTGTACATCTTGATTTAATCTTATTTGACTTTTCACATGCATGGTGTCCAATGTAATACTCCCTCCGTCCCCAATTAGATTACAATATTCCCTCTTATTTTTGTCCAAAAGGATTACAAAGTGTTTACTTTTACACTAAATGGACTCTTTTACCCTCCCTCCCATTTATCATTTCAATGTCAAATCTCACCCACCCACCCCTTCCTATACTATTTGGGGGGTAATTTGGGGAAAAAAATACTGATTTGACTCTTTCTTAATTTTGTCTAAAAGGGAATATTGTAATCTAAAAGAGGACGGAGGGAGTACTACATATTACCATTAACATCCATATTTATACATACATATATTTTTTAAAGCTTTAATATTTCAAAACTACGCTTCAAAATAAATATATTGAATTGATATAATATTTATATTGAAACACAATGTATGTTTTCTGTATATTGATGTTCTAAATTTAAAAACTTTAACCAGAAAAAAATCAAATGAGAAGATTAAAACAAAAGAGATGAAGTATTGGAAAATAATATTTCTTAAAAAAAGTATCTCTATCATAAATCTAAGGTTCATACAACAATGCATCAAAGGTGAACCTCTCACACAAGTAAAATAATAAAAAGTAAATTAAATAAATGCTTATCACAAGAGCACCTCCAACCATGCTTGTTTTATAGATTTGCTATTTTTACATTATAGCAAGTGAATAGTGATATAGCAAGCACTTTTTGCTTCATTCTCCAACCATAATTTGTTATTTTATTTTTTAAGTATTGACTAGCTAAATTTTGAGTGACTTGTTATATTTAGCAAGCCAAAGTCATTTTTTGACAAACTTGTTAAAATAAAGCATGTCCTTTGGAGAAGAACAAAAGTATTTAACTAGTTATATTATAACTTTTAGCAAGTTAAAATGATATGGTTGGAGATGCTCTTATTCTGGGGTATTATAAAGACACTTATGCTAGTTATGTAGCATAATGCTAGTTGTGAAGTTTAAGGGTGAAGTCTAAGCATAGTGGAAATGTCAACCATCATCATAAAAAAGCGATCCACATGATTAAAATATTCATAAATCATTATAGATCACTTTATGAATTGCTCCAAAAACAAACAAGGCCTTGCTTTTCTCTTTCCGTTGGAATAAAACCATGTGGCCAGAGATAGAATTTCCACCTCCCACATTCATAAACCGTCCATTTTTTCTTCTTCACGCGCAGGACAAGCTCTAAAAGTTGCTCTTTAAAGACACAGAAATTGACAGAAACCGAGAAATCAAATTTTGCCATAGACGGATGCTTCTAGTGGTTGAATTTGTGAAAGCTATAGAATCCATTATTATAGTGACTGAAAATTTCTCTTCTATTGTGTGAGTTTTTGCATCGTCTTGGCTCTTTGGCATCACAGTAGCTTCTGAGCCTGACAATTGTTGCTACCTCCTGCTGGTAAATTTCTGATCACAATCTCAATATACTCTTGTTTAGCTTTCCAAACAATTTTTCAATGATTGTGGTTGTATAGATCCATCTTTTTGTTCTTCTTCTTCGTAATTTATGGGGTTTTTGTAGTGGTAACTGGGGTTTTTTATTTCTTCCCAGCAATTTTCTGATCGAACATTATATAATTTGTCTGGGTTTATGAAATAGAAACAACTTTTTTTAAACGTTTAAGTACAATCTGCCGTTTTGCCATTTGTTTGCTATTTGCCAGCTAAAATGAAAAGTATCTAAACTCCAAAAGCTTATGTGCTTTAGTTCTGGAAAGTGGGAAAATATTTCTTTTTGCTTACTCAAAGCTCATTTTTTTCTTTACTCCTTTTACTGGTGGGGCAGCAGTAGAGTGCCATGGATATTTGGTTTTTCATAACAAGGTTAGCTTTGACTTTCTTCTAAATTCCAATATAGTTCACATTTGAGATTTGAATTCCAATGGTCATCTCTGATTATGATTTTATTTTCGAACAATCCTAACGGAAAATAACGTTCCCTCATCCTGAAATAAGTTTCCAATTTGACACAACATGATTTTTAAGAAAGGTGAAATTGTGTAGTTGCAATTTTATTCAGACAGACAAATAATACAAACCACACATGTTTTTCCTTAAAATGAAAGTGAAATCATGTTTAAGGACAAACCGAAAAGAAAATGTGGAAATTTCTTCGGGACAAAGGGAGTAATTCCATAGTACACCGTATTTGTTTTCTTTCCATAACAGCTTCAAGGTTTCAATGTATATATAGGGCATTTGGTTGTTTAATGATGAGGGAAACCCATAGAGGCTACCCTTTGGGCACACACTGGGTATACCCTGCACCGGTGCAATAAGGTGTTATTTAATATTTATGATGGAATTTAGTCACTTTCCCAGGTCTAACAAACATTTTGGGATTAGGTTGTATGTTAGGAACCCCAACCAATAATCGGTTTTCCATCATTGTGTGTGGTCCAAGTTGCTTAAAAGTCCATTTACTCTCTATGGCTTCCCATGAATGATTCAATGAGTTGATGTTAAGTTAAATTCAAATTTTACCACATTTCCTTGAAATTATCAAACAACCACTTATGGAGTTATAGCTAAATATCTACTGTGAAGAAAGTGCAATTCCTTTTAATGTTCTGTTTTGATCTGTGCAGTCCAAGACAGCTACTTCATTATTTTTATTTCATTGTCTTTCCTTATTTGACCGTTAGAGTCTGCTTGAATTTTCAGATCCATGAAAGTATTCTGTTGTATGAATCCCTTTTTTATGCTTGCTTGGATTTTTTTCTCTTGTCTTTTTCCTACAAAGAACAATATGATTTGCCATTAGCTCTTTATATGAGCATTTTTTTAACTATATGTTGGAATGATTTTGCTATGGTTTTTTCTGGAGGGAGGTAATAATCATTTATTGCTACAAGTTTAAAAATGACATTTAAGACAATAATTAGAATCACTTGTTTAAGGGCAACAAGGCAATAATTGGAATCACTTGTTTAATGGCAACAAGGCATTAATTGGAATCAATTGGTTAAGGGCAACAAGGTGGTACCATTAGGAAGCACTCTCAGAAAGCTTTTTAAAAGCTTCAACTTCAAAATTTTATAAAAATGAGTTTTTTGAAAAAAAAAAGAAGGCATTTTAGGTAATAACAAACACTAAAATTAGCTTTTTCACATGGTTAAATACCAATTTCAAATTCCGAAAGCTGAAAGCCTTGCAATAGGCTCTTCATCAAATGGATCTTATGATTTGCATGAATTTAAATGTCGAAGATTGCCAAATTTTCCCTTTGTGTTAATGTATATGAATGAGGTAAATGTTCATCCAAATCGTCTTGTTTCAAACTACACGTATATACATGTCATAACTTTCTTTCTCAAGGTCTGTAATTAGATTAGTTAATAGTTACGCTGTGTAGAGAAGAAATCTGAGAAAGAAAGAGATGGTTCCAACATTGGAGGCGATCCAGGGTGGTGGAGGGTCCATGAAAGTCGGAACCACAGGTACAATAAGCTCCCTTGTTTCAAAAGAATTAGATGGTGTGAAATCTTCTCCCCAGACGGCGGCAGGACCAGTTAGAAAGAAGCTTCCTCCTCCATCGATCTGTTCATTTGTTGCTGGTTCTGCTACAAGTCCTACCAAAAGAATGACACCCAAAACACCACCACTATCATCATCAAATGAAGCCATCACTGGAAAAGACCATGATAGCCCTGAAGTCACGCGCAAGACAAAGAACTACACCAGGAATACCCATGAAATTCCCATTCTAGAATCTGAAAGTTGTTCTGTGGATGAAACTCCTGTCAGACAGAAGGGTGCCAGGAAGGGGTCTCGCATAGCTGAAATCGTGGACATCAAATGTGGGAGTTGTGAGAAGCGATGGGCAAGCCCTGTGAAGAATCCCCTTAAGAAGTTTAGCTTCTCAAAGCTATCAGGGACCCCTGTCTGAGCTGCACCAGCCTCTAACATCAACAAACTACACTTTACTCTCTGCACTATGCAACCTATGTTTCTAGAAGTACTAAGCTTCCACTCTCTACGGCTTTTCCTCGTCCAGCACATACTTAGCTGCTCTTACACCCTTTTATCACAAATGGTTCAGGTGTGAGAAAAGAAACGGCTAAGTTTCTGACCCTGCACTTCGATTGATATTGTTATGCTTCATGGATTGTTGAGCGTTTTTATCTTCTTGTTGTTTTGCTTGGTCCTCTTGGTTCCTGAAAGCAGTTATGTAATTGTTCGTACCAAATTCAGAAAAGGGAACAATAGGCATGCATCTTTAATTATTATTCCATATCATAGCCTAACACTTTTAACATTAAATAAAAATTGCAAAAATGGTAGGTGTACACCAAGGTTTACACAACCGTGTGCACCAAGCTTCATATTTACACTTCGGCATTGTTTGAAAACGACATTTTCGATTAGTGTTAGTGTTTTGGATAAAATTTTAATGGAATAGATTAATTCTAAAAACACTAATGCTAAAAGATACCGTCATATAGCTTTTTCAAAATGCTAATGCTAATCTCTTATGCTAATGCCAAACATGGCCTTCATCTACAAGATTTGTTTGTGTTTTACAAATAAGATATGTCGAGGATGCACAAATACATCTTATTTCTGAAATGTGAAAATAAAGTTTGGTGTACACTAACATCGCCTTTGAAATTTACCTAAGAAAGTTTAGTGCGAAGAGAGAAAATGCAGATTGCTAAAGGGTCCATTTGTGAATGAAATATGATTGATCTGTTGGATTTGAAATGATGATTGTTATGGTAGATGTGGGTCGACCGCAACGGTTGTGTGTGGTTGGTGGTTGAGGGATATATTAAAACTCTCAGATTGATAAGACTCGAATCAAGGAAATATCAAAACAAATAAACAACCCCATTTGGGTGGATTGAGATACAACAAATATCAAATTTGATGTAACACCCCAACCTCTAGAATCCGGATACATGGGCCAGCCAACCGGGTTCTTACAAAATTGGTTTCCGAACACAACTCACATTTTAAAATAATTTAAAACAAATACTTACTTTCAAAAATCCATCGGAGTAATTCAAAACAGTGCGGAAGCTTAAGTCACAATACAAAACAAAACTTGGGGTTCAAACCCATTTAAGTGATAACTATTTAAATAGGAAGTATTAAATTCTTATGAGAATTTTTACAATAATTTAGTACTCCGGGTATATTATACTAATAAGACAACCC